CATCACCATCACCATCATCTCCATCACCATCACCATCATCTCCATCATCATCATCATCTCCATCATCATCATCAAGTATTGACTTCTCTTCTATACTGTTGTGTCAGCATGGAAACATGCTATAATTTCCCCATCTAAAGAAATATAAAGACCACAAAATACTCTTAACCCACATCTCCCTAAAGCTCTTGTCCCATATGGAAAAAACTCCTTAGGAATCTATGCTCATCTTCCACAACACCTCCTCCACCCTTCCCCCATTTTCTCTGTGTGCCTTTTCACTGCCAGGCAGCCCTAGCCCTCTTTGGCCTAGCTCAACAGAATCATTAGTTCATTCTCCCAGAAGCATCCTCCAGGCCTCCAGCTCCTGGTTGTTGGGTAGGCGGCCCCATCGTCACCTGCCCTGGGTCCCTGAGTCCCCTTCCCGCAGGAGCCCAGGAAGCCACAGTGCTTTCAGTGTATGCTTTATGCTGATGACTGCAAGCTTACAGGAACGTCCAGCTGCCTGGTCAACATGGCCTTTTGAAATCCAGCAGAGCCTTCACCCTAACTAACGAGTGCCAACAGCTTCTTCTCTTTGGCCTGGGTGGCTCTGCCTCTGGTTCTTCGTGCAGCCTCTGGGTGCACGACAAATTCCTTGGCTGCTCCGCTCCTTTCCCAACAGCCTACAGGTCAGACTCAGCGGCCAGTCTCACGGCTCTACTCTTTTCTGGAGCCTAATACCCCGCCGGGCTCCATGGCCCTGCTTTCCCAGTGTCAGGTACAGCTGCCTCCCAGCAGGCTTGTTGCAGTGCCCTCTGCAGCAGGCAGGAGTAGGAACCTCCTGCTTGGCATCCTCGGATGGTTGCTTCCCATGGCCCCTTTGGCCACCCCCTCCCCCACCGCCCCCTGCTCTGTGTGGCCTGCTCGGGTCCCTGGCTGCCTAGGCTCTTCCACACCCAGGACTCCACTCGGCCCCCGTCCCCGAGACTCTGCCAGCTGTCCTTCTACCCTTCCATGCTGGCTCCTTCCCAGCAGCGCTGTCCCTCCTGCTGGGCTCCCAGTCCTGCAGAGCTCAGCCTCTCCCGCTCCGACAGTCTGGGCTTTTCTCATCTGTTTGGTTTTCTGACTCAGGGGCTTTACACTCCTTGGGGTCAGGCTCACCCAGCACTCTGGCTTGTGCAGTGATGTGGCCCCGGCTCCTGCGACAACACAGTAGACACCCACAGGTGTTTATGGGGTGAACGGATGCCTGAGGAGTGAGGTGGGGCTAGGGCACATCCTGTGAGGTGCACATTCAGCCGTCTCCTGAGCTGAGTCACAGGGAGGAAGAGGAACTTCGGTACCCAGTGACCCCCATAATGTCTCATTCAATCAACGCATCTCAAAGCCTTGGTTGGGATCGTCATGAAAATTACGTAAAGAGTAGTTGAGAGAAGGCATGGGTGGGCCTTCTGTGTCAAGAAGGGAAGACAGGTCCTAGCATGCCAGTCAGAAACTGCCCCAGAAGTAAGGCCCCATGTCTTAAGCTACCCCAAAGAAGGTCCGGCAAGGCTGAGGCAGCTTTCCCAGGCATGGGACCCTGGAGGCTTGGGCGTTGCTAGAAACAGACTAGCCAGGCACCTCACCCTGCAGTTTCTGCCCAGCCCCACATCTGGCCCATGGGTTTACCTCTCAAGAAAGCACCCAAGGAGGGGGCACTCATGGGAAGAGACTGGCAGAGCCACTCAGAGCCAGTGCCTCTCGACTGAGTCACCCACTTCTACGGGCATTTCTGTCCTGGCACCCATCAAGGGTAAGGGGTGAAGCTGCAAAGTCAAGGCTTCCTGACAATGCGCCTGGGAGGGGCTGCTTCTCAAGGCTGGACCAGAGCCCAAGAGGCCTTGGCTCCCATGCCCAGTGGCCCTACCATGAAATCTCTCGGGGTGGGAGCTGAGGGTTGTGTTTGCATCTCTTCTTACCTTTTCCTTAGAGCCTGCACACACACACACACACACACACACACACACACACACACACACACCATCGTACACGCATCCACTTTGCTCCTTTGGGGACAGCTGTCCTCCTGGCTATGTGATGAGGGCAGGCCAGTTGTACTCTGGGCCCCAGTCATGTCAACAAATGATGAGAACAGTAACGTGACATTTCTCACCTAGGCTTAGGTGAGTGTTTAAAACCGTCACAAGCCCCTGTTTCTCTGTGTTTACAAGTTGTGCTTTGCAATATATGAATATGTCTATTCCTGAGTTTCAGCTTTTAAAAGTCTTAAATACGGATGAAGCAAACATTTTGCCCACACTCCTTGCCTTCCCCACAGGCGACCACGATGGGCAGTTGCTCTTCCTAGACTGTTCTATAGACAGGCTTGTCTGTAGGCTTGTGCTTGTGTGCAGCTGTGTGATAAGGACTCTTCTGCAGGTTGCCTGCTTCTCATGGTTGCAGATATCAGAGCGCTTTCCGCCTCAGCTCTGCATCGGGTTAGTTAACTGGCCCCTTGTTGACAGCTGAGTGGTTTCCAGGAAGGCTCTGTTCGGACCCGCCCTGCAGCCCAGGGCTGGCGGCTCTGTGCTGGCATTTCTGTAGGACCGACTCCTCCACAAGTTGCTTCTTACGCTGGTTCAACACCTGGCAGCCCCAGCTTTTGTCTGCTGATGGTTTCTCCGTGGTGTGGCTGTCCAAGGCCTAGGTGTCACCTGTCGGGCTGTGTTTGAGGGAGGAACAGATACAAGCCTGATTCCCAGTGAAGCAAGGTCGAGCAGAGTCCTAAGATCATAAGTTCTCAGCCTGTGGGCCACAATCCCTTTGGGGCCGTCAAATGACCCCTTCACAGGGGTCGCGTATCAGGTAGGCTGCATATCAGATATTTACAGTATGATTTGTAACAGTAGAGAAATTATAGTTATGAAGCAACAATAAAATAATCTTGAGGTTGGGGGTCACCAACATGAGGACCTGTATTAAAGGGTCACAGCAAGAGGAAGGGTGAGGAGGTTGGGAAGGTTGAGAAGAAAGGCTGGATTAGATGCAGCCCTGCTGAGTGGGGGTTCGGACAGGGGCCCTCGGGCCCTCTGCCCTGCCAGGGTCCCTGCCAGCCCGCTCTACCCCAGCTCCCAGAACAGGGCTGAGTGGCCATCAGCAAGCCACTTTCTGCTGTAAGACCCCTGACCTCCTGGACCAAACAGTGACGCTGCCCACCCACCAGGGCGCAGGGGACCCTGAGCTACCTCGACAGCACGTACAGGGCTGTCCATGCAGTCAACACCCGTTACTCCTGCTCTAGCCCCTCGCTGCCTCTGACCCCATCCCACCTGCTCCTGTGTTCAGCTGGCCTCTAACTCATCCAAGGGCTACCCTTCCAGGGGTCAACAGCTGGCTCAGCTTGCGACAAGTGTGTTAACTATAAACAAGACAGTCCGCTGTCAGCTCAATGTTGGCAATACTTTCCACACCTAGGGGGATGCTAGCCAGTCAGGTTCCACCTTGTAATGTAGGCTTACAATGGGATTTTTTATAAACTTTTTTTATGTGTGCATGTGTGTGTGTGTGTGTGTGTGTGTGTGTGTGTGTGTTTGCATGTCACAGTGCATTGAGTGGAAGAGTAAAGGCAACTTCTAGAAATCAGTTCTCTCCACTGTGCAGGTTCCAGGGATCAAGCTCAGGCCCTCAGGCTGGCGGCAAGTACCCTTACCTACCGAGTGGTCTCGCTGACCCTTATAGTGGAATTCTGATGCTGTCTGTTGCCTTCATTAAACTGTCAGTTCTTTGAGGGCATGTAGGTGCTCATTAAATATGAGTGCGCGAACGAGTTAACCGCTTCCAGGTGGCTGTCAGGAAGGAGGCTACAGCAGTGGGTGGTAACCCGTTGGGGCGGGCCTCCCTCCCCCCTCCACATCCCCCACACCCTCCACCACCCGCCCCTCCCGCTAGCACCAGGCAGAGCAGCGTCCAGGAGCCAAGGGCAGGGGCAGCAGGGGCTCCACTCTTCCCACCAGCCAGCTGTCCCGAGAGGCCACTGGGTGGGTGCCCGTAAGGGGCACCCCAGGCCTGCTAGGGTCCAAGCCTTCTAGGTTGAAAGGTTCGGTTTCATGAGCTCACCCAGGGGTGACCGGGCTCTGGGAAAGCAACCAAGCTCCGCCGATTGATAAGCCAGCTCAGCGATTTATTAACTGGTGCTTGGCAGCCGGGCCTGCTCAACAGCCCGCAGCGCCTGAGCTGGCCCCTCCGCCTGCTGCGCTCTGCAGAGCACGGCTCGCTGAGGAAGCCAAACCTCGTTCTGCAGTGAGTGTGCTGGGAAAAACGATAGTGAAGAATTATGCTAGCCGATGCCTCCGAACGGACAGGGGTGGCATGAGCGTTGCTGCCATCCTGCTTTGTAAAACCAGGGCACTGAGGCCATCTGGCTAAAGTGACTCCTGAAACAGGGAGCAAGGACTCAACCCTCAGCCTTGCAGCTTCGGTCGGAGTTCCAGGGGCCCCCTCAACCCTCCCCACCGCTCCCCAGGGGATCCTCTGTTAAGGCCACGCAAGCTCCCCTCGGGATCTCTTGGCCTCCCCACGGATGCAGGAGCCACCTGAGCCTCGTTAGCAGCATCTGCCTGTTCCGGAGAGGGTGCTGCTCCCGAGGATGCAGCAGGAAAACCCCAGCGACAGCCACCATTAGGCGCCAGCTGTGTGCCCGATGTCTTGCTCACGGTACAGTCGTATGGCCTCACAGCCCCATGAGACAAGCTCCCTCATCTTCTTCCACAGCTAGAAATTCACAGGCCAAGTAAGAGAGCGGGTGTCTTGCTGGGTCCCGCAGCTGAGAGAGAGGCAGGACAGAGTCTCCGAGTCACACTCCTCACGCACAGCATGCTGGGCTCTCGCCGGGCTGCTGTTTTGTGGCATTGGCATGGAGGGCAGCGGTCCTCCCGGGCTCCCTGTGGGTCACACATGAAGCTGTGGAGCAGGTGGAGGAAGGGGACTGGGACATGCTGCAGCCTCAGTTTGGGCGACCGCAAGCTTCAAGGTCAGGCAACAGCCCCTTCATCACAGCACTCTTCATTGTTCACAGCGGGCCCGCAGGTCCCCAGGGCCTCCCACGGTCTGCCAGGGTAGCCAGTGCCCACACCTCCTCCACACCCCAGGGAAAATGTCACCCGTCCTCGACACCTTCCTCTTGAACAATCAAGGGCTCCCACTCCATAACATTTATTATAGCGAGCCCAGCTTTCGCGTCATTATCTGAGCGTTCTCCCCACTGAGCAGCGGGCTTAGGCAGAGCACTGCAGATCTGGGTCCCTCATTGTCCCTGGCATGCAGCTGTTACCCACTGACTTTACATACGTGTGTCGGTGTGAGAGGAACCCAGGAATACAGGCCTTCCACATACAAGTGAGGAGCAGCTAAGCCCAGAACACGGAATCTAAAACCTCAGTCTGCGTGGACTGACGGTTCTTCCCTCTTTTAGACACTGGGAGACTTTGGGGCCTCAATCCTCCAAAAGATGTCCCCACCTGCCTGACTTCATGTGTGCAGGGGTTTCTGCTGCCAAGATGGACAGCTATGAGGGAGGGATGGAGTTCCTGTGGAAGTGGGCAGGGCTGGCAGAAGTGGTTGGGGACAGAGGGGACCTCGTGACTAAGGGAATCTGTGTAGAATCGTCTGATAGGCCCAGGAGGGAGAGCAGGAAAACACATGAATCCTGGCTGCTGCTGAGAGTGGCAGGGCGCGGTGGTTAGGTGTGTGGATGCTGGGGCCGGCCTGCTCAAATCCTGGGCTTGCTGTTTCTCCACAGGAGTAAACTTGGATAAATATTTAACATCTCTGCATCTCAGGCCTCAGTTTCCTCCAGTGAGAACAATTCTACTGAAAGGAGCTGATGTCTGTAAAGCCTAGAACAGGCCCCCGGATTACCTGAAGCATGCATTTACCCTCAGACACGGAGCAGGGCCTGGGGCAACAGCCAGCACCAAGACTTCAGGAAGCCCTCCCTACCTGCTGTCATGCCCACACAGGACAGGCTCCTAGTTAACCCTGGGCTCTGCAGGGGCCACTTTGTATTACTCTCATCTCACTGACACACTGCGTCCCCCAGACTTGAGCTTCAGAGGGCAGAGATCCTGCCTCCCTGCTGTGTTTCTGCCTGGATCAAAATGAGTGCTCAGTAAACAGGCCTGGGTGTGATGAGGGGTTGGAAGGTCTTGGGGGAAATTCTGAGCTCTGGGCTGTTGCAGAGGGTCACTGAACAGCCAGGTAATAATGCCAGCAGCTTGGTCCCCTTAGTGCCACACTGGCCTGATAATATACGACTTCTCCATTTTTCCTCTCTTCCAGTTCCTGGCATTTGATACCCAGTTGCTGATGGGTAACCGCCGCCACTCACTGAGCCCTGAGGAATATATTTTTGGAGCCCTCAACATCTACCTAGATGTTATCTACATCTTCACCTTCTTCCTGCAGCTTTTTGGCACTAACCGGGAATGAGGAGGAGCCCTCCCCACCCCCATCTTCCTCCAGAGAATGTCCCTTCCCTGTCCTGTGACCCTCTCTGTGCTCCTGCAAGACCAGATATAAACTTGCTGTGGCCAGCCTGTGAGCAGCTGCTCCTCCTGCAGCCAGCCCTCGCCTTGCCCTCTGCCGCTTGTATATATGCCTTCCTCGGGGCCCCGTCAACCCCTGAGGTGCCCCGGGCACCCAATTGCATCTTCCAAATGGGACAGTCAAGGCTGAGGGTATCTCTGGGTTTGCAGACCCAAGGAAGGAATGGGAGGAGCCCGGCAGACTCCCAGGGGTGGGAGGGACACCCCAGTAAGCCTTGGCTGAGACTGTGACCCCACCAAGTCTTCTAGGACTCCATTTTCTCTTTCAGGTCAAGCAACCATGCTTTGTAAGAAAAAAAGGTGGAGGGGACATGGCTGGGACATGAGGACAGGGGTGCTGCGGTGTGGGGTGAAGCTGTCCCTCCTTGTCCTGAGACCTGGACATATAAAAGGTGGAGGAGGCCACTGCTTCTGTTACACGCCTCAGTTTGCCCTCCTGGGTCATCTGGATCCTGGGACGGGGATGTGCTAAGTGCGGGCCTGTTTTGAGCTCCCAGGCTGGGGAAGGCTGGGAGGACTGAAGTAGGGGCAAGCCATGAGCTGCATCCACTGGGAAGACGTGTGACCAGGACCCCATCTTTGTCTCCACCCTGTGCTGTTCTCACAGGCCTGTTTCCCTGGGGCCCTTTAGTCCCTACCACAGCTGTTTCCTCAGCCTTCCCCACCTTCTGCTACATCCTGTCTTATCTGTAGCCAGGCCTCCTGACGCCCTGGGAGTAGAGGCACCCGTGTCCCTTCCACGGCCTTCCCAGCCGCTCGGCCCAGAGTGCCTGGGCCCTTGCCCCCTTATCTCTGCAGCTCTGCAATTTGGAAGCTGTCCAGCTAATGGTCACAGCCAGGGCCAGTCCCTTGAGCCTGTCCCATGTGGGGAGGCCAGGGCTCCTTATCAGCCTCTGGGGGGGGGGGGTGCTGGGATCTCAGGCAGAGTGTGCGTCAGGCACCCTGCCCTGGCTGAGAGCCTGCTGCAGTGGGGGCCGGGGGCCACCCCTGGGGCAGTGTGCAGCCCACACCCGCACACGGCCAGCTCTAAGCCAGTGGAAAGTTACTGGGTGAAGGCTAGGAGGCTTTGAGTGGATGGAGGGGCTCCTGTCTGCCCTGATAAAGGGGACTGGGTGGCCTGGCCGTTCCTGCCTCTGCCCCCTCCACCCTTCCTACTTCCAGCCTTCAGGAAGTATTACAGAAGCATTTGAAATTTTCTTCCAGCTTGGGTATTTGAGGAGGGAGGGTAGGACGTGAGGGGCAGTTAGAGTGGGTGCCAGTCCAGAACAGTCGGCATCACCAGACGGGCACATCCCCACTGCAGAGGCCAGGCCAAGGCTTGCTGTTAAGTCCATGGTCCTGTAGCAAACCTGGGGGTCAGCCCACAGCAGCCCGTAGGTGTGGGTAGTCAGACCTGACATCTCTGGGGCCACCCCCGTGCCACCCAGCCTGGCATCCCGAGACACCATACTCTGGGGGTTTTCGGTCCCTGGAAGTCAGCAGGGTGGCAAGATTCCTGGCTTCCGATTCTGGCCTCGCTGCCAACACACTTGGGTTTACTGGGTGAGGGCAGCTTTCTGTCTGTGACCCCAAGATGGAAGTCCCCATGCCATGCCAGTGTGGGGCAGGAAGAGGCACCAACACACTTCTGCTGACTTCCTCATCTCGTTGCCCACCTTGAGGGCCTCTCCTAAACTCTCCCTTAGAAAGGTTTGCAGCCCCTCCCCGACTGGCCATCGTCCCGGAATCCACTTGTCCAAGGCCTCCCCTTATGCATAGAACTGAGGATTGAGAAAAATTTTTCCAAGGCTAAGTTCCAAAACCCTAGAGGAGGAGCAAGCCCTCAGCCATAAATAATGTGACCCGAGCACAGGTCACGGTGATCTCAAAGGTGGCTGGTGGAGGTGGGGAGGCTTGCCTGCCGCTGACCGGGCTCCAGGACAGGAGAAAGCCTCGGTGGGAACAAGAATGCAGGATTATGAGGACCTCGGGGGAGGTGGGGGAGGATTATGAGAAACCGAAGCTGGCAGGTGCGGCAAGCTGTGAAGGAGGAAGGACTCCCGCTGGCGCCACATTTTTGGCTCGGGTGGGGCCGCCCCTTAAGCAGGTTCATAGGGACGTGAGGCCAAAAGCCCTCTGTGGAGGTGGGACGACGTCCGGCGCTGAAGATGGGAGGGGGAAGGCATGAGAGGTCCCTCACCCATCACACCGGTTCCTGGGTCCGTTTTTCGGAATAGCCCGAGGAAGCCACAAGACTAAGAACTGTGGTTCTTCCATTCCGTACCCTTTCTCCTCCTACCATGCTCCAAAAGGCAGAGGGGCCAGGTTGGGACTTTTACTCACGGACTTTGCTGCCCCCTCCTGGCTGTTGGAGGAAATGCAGTCTTGCTTTGCGGGCACTGGTGGCGGTGGCGAAGAGCGGGCGGGGCTTGCTCCCTCTTGGACTTGTCTTCCAAAAGACACTCTTACGGCCTTTTTACCCAGAGGTTTTCACATCTCTTAAAACACAGTTGACCTGGCTGACGAAAGCCACCTCTACGTGCCCTTCCCTGAGCTTCTGAGTGTCGGAGGACAGAGACCCAGCACCAAGCACAGGGACTGCCACTCAGCGCCACACACCAGACGCTGCTGCCCTTTCCGCCTCGGATTCCCACGGTCTCTCCCGAGGCCCTTCTCTGGCCTCACCTGCCCAGGATCTTGGGCTGATTGGAAATAAAAATAAAAGCAATCACCAAGACACCTGAACTGTTTGTGTGTGCTGAAGTGTCACTCAGCAGTGAGATGGCATTCATGCAGAAACTACCTGTAAAAGGACTTCTATTCTCCTGTTTCAGTTGTCTTGGAGGCTTACTGCCTCTGTCTGCTAACCTAGGCCTGGTCCCGGAAGCTTCTGGCCTCTATACCAATTAACCTAAGCCTAGAATGAAGGAGGGGGCCACAGCTGAGATACAAATTGAATAAATTGTAATAAATGATAATAAAAAATAAATAAAACTTGAGGAGAAAAATAAAAGAAAATGCCTCCAAAAGATCTGGCTGCAGGCAAGCCTGTAGGACATTTTCTCAATTAGTGATTGATGTGGGAGGGCCATTGTGGGTCGTGCCATCCCTAGGCTGGTGGTCCTAGGGTCTGTAAAAAGGCAAACTGAGAAAGACACGTGAAGCCAGTAAGCAGCACCCTCCACGGCCTCTGCCTCAGCTCCTGCCTCCATGTTCCTGCCCTGTCTGAGTTCCTGACTTCCCTCAGAGATGAACAGTGCTGTAGGACGGGACGTTTAAGCAAAACAAACCCTTTCCTTCCCAAGTTGCTTTTGGTCGTGGTGTTTCATCATAGCTCCCAAAATAATGACTCCTGGCGCTCAATTATTATCTCACAAATACCTAAGCCATGCAGCTAGGCTCTTCTCTGACTAGCTCACAACTTAAAACAACCCTTTACACTAACATACATTCTCAAACGCCAACGTCTCTATCAACACCTGCCTGGCATCAGGGTCTGAGCCAGCTGTTCACAGCTGAAGCCAGTCTCTGTGAGAAGTCCGTGAAGGCTTCTCTGGGGCCGTGTATTATCTTAGTTGATAGGTGGATCTCGTAAAGCTCCCAGCCGACATTGTCCTATCACATCATCGCCTGAATTTGTTCTTGTAGGTGGCATAACACCCTTCACCGAGCAACTGATCTTTAACAACGTTTATATTGCTATATGTCGTTCTGTTTTCACGGCTTTGTTCCTCCACCACGATAACCACTGTAACTGCGGGCCAGCTTCTAGCACAGCTGACACCCATCCCTTCCAGCCGTGGGGAGTAATTCTGCTTTGCATAGGCCAGTTACTTAATATTTGTTTAACGCATGAGGAATACATCCCATAGGAAACAACAGACGCCTTAAAACCCTTGAGATCTAACATCTCTGTTGGACGCCATGTCATCTCATGTTCACGATCAACATCCTTAGCTTGTGCTGCAGTTACCGGGAGAGCTGATGGTGACTTTGGAGTCCCAGGCAACTCCTCCAGCGACACGCTTGGCTCAGGATTAACTAACCCTTTTGCTCTGTACAGTCTCCTGCTCTTCCTAGCTTCCTGCCTCAGGAAGGGGCTCCAGGCGCCTGGCAGTGAAAGTGTGGAGCAGGGCGGGGTGGCAAGAGCAGGGAAACCCCGGCTCTTGGCTACCAGCTGTGAACCCATTTGTTCTCCCATTACCAGCCCCGCTGTTTCCACACCCCACAGGTGGCTAAGGCACTTTCTCCCCAGATCACAACCCCAGCTCTCCATTATTCGCTTGAGACAAAATCCTGCCACAGAAAGCCAGCCTCTGCTGTCCCATGCTGTACCACCTTAGTGCCTTGGCCTGGCTCCCTTTTATCTCTTGAGCCATTATATAAGAAGCCCGGCAGATGCTGAGACCCATAACCAAACCTTCGGCAGAGCGTAGGGAATCATATGAAGGGAGGAGGAATTAGTATATCCTAGAGGGGACAGGGAGCCCCACAAGGTCCAAATATATCTGATCACAGGGGTCTTCTATGAGACTGTTTATCCAACCAAGGACCATGCATGGATATAACCTACAATCCCTGCTCAGACATAGCCCATGGTAGCTCAGTATCCAAGTGGGTTCCCTAGTAAGGAGGACAGGAACTGTTTCTGACTGTTTCTCATGAGCTTTCCCTGCCCCCTGAGGGAGGAGCAGCCTTGCTAAGCCACAGAGAAGGACATTGCAACCATCCTGAAGATACCTGATAAGCTAGGGCCAGACAGAAGGAGAGGAGGACACCCCCTCTCAGTGGACTCAGAAGGGAACAGGGAGGAGATGAGGGAAGGAGGGGCGGATTGGGAGGGAAAGAGGGAGAGGGCTACAGCTGGGATACAAGTAAATGTATAAATTATTTAAGTTTGAAAAATATTAAAAAAAAAAAGAAGCCCGAGTGCCCTGTGGCCCCCAAACTGGAGAGACCATGGGCAGCTACCGTGCCAGGGGCTCAACCTTCCTGCCATGCCCACCAGCCACATGAGGGGCGGAGCCGCTGTGGAAGCAACCTCAGCTGCTG